CTAATATTTGTATTTTAGCTATTAGCTATCAAATTAGAATATAAAGAAATCCTTTGTAATTCAAAATACTCAATTAACTTTTTATTAGAACTGTCTATTATCATTTTGTCAAATGTCCATTCAAAGAGAATATTTAGAAATAAGCAAACTTTAATTTCTAAGGAACTACATACATATATAACAGATGCAATATGAAAACGTCAAAACAAATCTATACATATGTATTTTTGGAACACTTTCCCTATATATCCAGACGCCATGTTGTCGGTTTCTTTGAACTAGTTATGACTCATTAGTAACATTTAGATTTTGGTCTTTTTTTCTAAGTTTTAAAACACTTATTACTAGTACTTCAGGAAAACATGAACTTATCTATCTTTGCATGGGGGTTTTCCTTCTATTTTTTTCCTTCTTTTTGTATTTTCATTATTTTTTTACTTTCTTAATGACTCGAAATGTTAGTAATGAAGGCTACTCTAAAGCTGTGGCAATAAAAGTTAGTTTATGCGGTATCGTTCAAAGCATAGGTGATAAAGTCCAATCTAGAGCATTCGCAGTGAAGGCTTTTGGGATGCTTTCGTGATGAAGCCAGTCCAGAGTGTTTGCTTGGATGCTCAGTCTAGAGCATTCGTGTTGAAGCACAGTCTACAGCATTTGTGATGAGGCCCAGTCTAGATCAATCATGATGAAGGCTAGTCTAGATACATTTTGCAAGATCTTCAAACGCAGCAAAATCGATATGTTTGTGATCGAATCATTCATATAATTATCACTAAGGCAAGATAAATTAATATTTTGTTCCACTGCATATGTTTTTTTGTTTTATTTACTAAAAATATATCTTCAGGTACATGCAATTTCTTATATCCTGATAATCCACCTGATTTTATAATTCCATGGTATGCATAAGTAGTATTTTTTTTATAATACCTGTTTTTTTTCTGTTGTAATTATCTGCTGGAATAAATAGGCTTAAACCTGACTTAACAATACTATTGCTGTGTAAGAAGCATTGAAATGTTGTTGTGTAAGAAGTATTGAAACGTTGCATAGACTGCGCGCTAAATCGCACAAGGTAGACAGATGTTTATAGGGGAATATGGTGTTTTGTTCAATGTTCAATGTTTACAAACAAATATCCTCAAACCACACACCAACATATTGATTTTGTTCTGTTTTTCATCTAAAACTTACTGGCCAAGAAGGAACTGTTCAGCTGATTTGTGCAGTCCGATATTATCTATCTTGGCCAATTGCATACCAATACCTTTGCAGTAGTCAGTGGCACCATAATAATCCGTTTTTATGTAATTAATATGAAAATAGGCTCCAAATCCTAAAACATAGACAGCTTATAAACACATAATTAATTGAAGGTATTTTTAATAATGGTGTATCATATGTAAGTCATGCTTAAAAGTTAAAAAAAAATCACAGATGCAACAAAAGGAATAAAAACTAAGCCGACAAAACTTTTTTTTCCAAGAAAATTAAGCATATTTCAGACATTTTCGGGTGTTTTTTTTGTATTAATAAATTATTTGGTTACGAATTTCTCTAACAGGACAGTGTGTTTCCATTAAAAACTAGAGGGGGAAAAAATGTCTCGTCCCTGTAAGTTATACAAAAAGTAGTTTTTATAAAAGACGTAAAACATGTACTCTCTCCCCAACCCCAACCACACACACACACACACACACGATGGATGGTCGGTGCCATTAGCCTTACGTGCTTGATATTCTGGGTAAATGTATAACTCTCATCAAAGTTTTATACCTTAAGCTTTAAATATACACCATATATCATTACAATCGACATCAACAAAGTTTTATACCTTAAGCTTTAAGTATACTTACCATATATCATTACAATCGACATCAACAAAATCCATATTCTCAATAATTTTACTGCAGCCATTACTGGAATTCAAAGTTATTAGTTAGAAATTGATAAAAAATACACGAGGGTTGTATGGGGGTCCCTTATTTCTTTAATCTTTATCTTATTTCTAGATTATTTTTCTCTATTCTTTATTTATTTTGCCCATTATTCTCTATTCTGTATATCGTAGCACATATTATTCTCCTTTTTTTTTGCCTTTTTTTTCTCAATATCTTATTTTATATTTTTTATAGAAACTAGGCACTTTTTGCCTGTAAACTATTCGGTAAACCCCATCCAGGCCCTCAGTCATGGCTGAAGACATGTATTCTTTAAGAAAACCCGAAACGATACCAATGTTAGACAACTAACTATAGGGTCATTTGCGTTAATGCTTTAATTATGTCATAACTTCCATTGAAAGTAATACCATAATGTAAATATTTATTTTATTTCTTGTAACTTTTATTAAATGAAATTCAAAATTTTATTGTGATAAAATTTGTGACAAAACTTAGTACTAATGATATAGGATAGCATGCTTGTGTTGACAGAGAATACATTTTATGGTTTCATGATCCTTTCTGTTAGAGTTGGAAAAGTCTTTTAATAATTTTCTGTATATATTTTTTTTACCAAAGCTAGCCTTATGGTTGAGTTCTACTGCAATACGAAATAAAATATTTCTCATTTTCAATTGCATTACATGACTTAAGTAAAACACGTATGCACTAATTCATTAATCAAGATTTTTTTTTCTAAAAAAGAAGTTGATTTCAAATAAATAGACATTCAATTATTCAACTAGTTTTGAGGAATTTAAGCCGCTCGCAGAGGGTCAGAGCAATAACAATAATTATACTCTTTCATTATACATGTATATATATAAAAAAAGTATAACAAAAGTACTGACTCCAAAAAGGGGAAGGCTTAAAAAAAAATCAAAAAATCAAACGTTATCAACCAAAGGAACGAGTGGAAAACAGCTATCACTACATGCACCAGGAACGCTCAAAATTAGATACACGATAGCGGGATGTATAAATACATGTACACTGTCATTTCAAAACTCATACCAATTAAAGAAACATAATACCACGAAGACAATTATAGGAAAAACTGTAAAGTAAATAAAAGATACAAAACTTCAGCGTCCAGTATGAATCTAACAAAATGTTTCATGCTTGTGTAATTTTAATTACATGAACAACGCAAAAACGTTTAGACGAAATAAGTAAGAAAAAAAAAGCACCTACAATTGATAAATGAAACTACGAATATTTTGTATTGAAATTTGGTTTTTTTTTTTTTAATAAGGAATGCATATTCCTCATAATGCTTTATGAATTTATCAGAACCTCTACTTTTGATTTAGGTTTTGGATTTCAAATATTTTGGCCTCCAGCAGAAGAGACATAAATTGTCGAACTGCGCATCTGGTGCAGCAAAATTGGTACCGTTGATGTTATTTCACATTTACAATAATATCATTAAATTTTATGAGGAATATTTTAATTATTATTATATTAATTCAATAGTAAAAGATATATTCCATAAAGATATTACTTAAACATGAAATTTTTAATTTTGTATAAGATATATTGAGAGGAAAAAGGATGTATAATTTAATACACGATGAAATTTGATTGATATCAGATACATTTACAAAAAATACAAATTCAATGAAAAAAAAAAGATGCATTTTTTATATATATTCTTACCTGATATAAACAATAATTGACTCACTTTCGATAATCTAAAATAAATATTTGAATTTATGACTAGCTATTTGAAGGTGCACTAGGCTATGGACGTAAAAAATAAGAGGCTGACAAAATGATATTAGAAAATCGATCAATCGTTTTTGATCAGCACAGAGTAAACATGTCAGTTGACTGTTACCAATACCGACTGAGTAATTGAATAATTCCCAGCTTACTTTATATGTATTTTGAATTAGTGAATTAAATTATTGCAAATAAATTATATTCAATACGACCATTTGTTCTTCGCTGTAAAGACAAAATCAAAATAATTAAAAGATAAAATTGAGAATGGAAATTGGGAACGTGTCAAAGAGAAAACAATCCGACCAAAGAGCAGAAAAAAACCCAAGGCCACCAATGGGTCTTCAGCATTTCCCATAAGACGTCATTCCCCCTAAAATAATATTTATCTATATTCCAATCATAAAAACCGATAAATTTTCGGATTCAATGTATCAAAAAGCTTCAAAATGACTGAGCATTTGTATTTATATCTTCATTTGCGTGGGGTATAGAAATATGGTCATCCTTCGTCTTATTCCGACCGCCAGTTAATCCTTGAAAAGTGAGCGTTAATTTTGGCTGTGCGGGATGTATAGATTTTTAGCCAGGTACGGTCAGAAAACAATAAAATTACAAAAATACGGAACTCCAAGGAAAATTGAAAACGAAAAATCCTTTATCAAATGGCAAAATCAAAAGCTCAAACTCATCAAAACGAACTGAAACATATGTCATATTCCTGACTTGGTACAGGCATTTCCTTATGTAGAAGATGGTGGTTTAAACCTGGTTTTATAGCTAGAATGTGGACGTTAAATTTGATGTCTTGTGTATATAAAGCCATACTCTTTACACGAGAAGAACCCTTGCATCAACTCTTTAAGGGGTCCGTATGTTGCCTGCTGCAAAGCTCAATTTCTGTCTTTGTCCAATATACCCTCATTTCCTAAAGGCCTTCCAAATTCTTAGGTAATTACCTAAATTGACCACCTTTTGCCGGACCAACCTATTGTATTTATTTTTTTTATTGTTAATTTGTTCTCGTACTGAATATGCGTGAACTATTATCAGCTTGGTGTTAAACATAATAAATAATACATATCCGTAAACGAGAGAAAGAGTACCTTGGAACAAAATATTCTTTAGAAAAATAACTGGAGAAGTAAAACCAAAACACTATATGAGTATTTTCGATTTCAGATACATTATCAGTTTGCATATTTGCAGTGTCGGCGAACTTTGCTGTATATATCAACTCAGTTTGAAAGGAATTTTCTACATTTTTGATAAATGTTTAATTGAACAAATGAAGAGATTTTAACTCATAAATGTAAACATAGTGGGTGCAAATTAAATACAAATATACATGCCAATAAGACGTGAATCGAGCTACAACAAAAAAAAAGAGATAAGATAAGAACAACAACGACATCAAACATACAACGTGCATGTTTACAGCACATCTACGTGTCACATGTGACTTTCTCCTTTATCGACTTTGACATCACCGAATGAGACTTATCATCTTTGTTTGTAAATTCTATGATCAACATGACGGGTTCCACATGTGGAGCCGGATTTCCTTAACCTTTAGGAGCACATAAAATCTACCCCTGGTTTTGCTATGGTTTGTGTTTATCAGTCTATTGTTTTCTATGGAGCATTTTGTGGACTTTTTTGTCCTATCTTTTGTTGTATTTTCGTTTCCTATGGCGTTGTCATTTTCTCTTAGAACATGTAGAAGGAAGAGTTTTGAATGTCACCTTGGTATCTTCAGCTTATTTCTTTATAGGTAAGCAGAGTGAGATAAATCAAAATATTCCGTTTTGTACATTTTATTTTAAGGCATTTACCAACTGGTCCCAAAAAACTGTATCCCCATATTCATCATTCGGATATTCTATATATGAATTGGATTGAATCATTTCAAGCACATTCAGCGGAAGGTCACATGAAGACATTTGTTCATAAAACATTAAGAAAAGCACGTTTTCGTTTCTTCGTTCGTATATGCTTTCCATTCGAGCCATATTATATTCGAACATGCACCAGTATGATTTTAAAAAGTTATGAGACATTATCACTAGAGTTTTGCGACTGTTATGAATTGCGGATGTGATATTAGTAGCAATGTCATTTCCGGGCAGGAAATTTCTCTTGTGTAGGCATAATTGAATTCCGTTTTCAACTTCAAGTTTTTGTAGAAGCGTATTGTGAACAAACATTCGATCTTCATCTGCATAAGATACAAATGCTCCATACATGTAAGAATATTCTTCCTCATTTTCCGAATGTAAGCTGCTATACTTTACTTTCACGATGTAATATAAGTAACGAAGCTTCCATCTGTATCTGTAAATGAGTGATGCCATAATAAGTATAATACATAGTAAAATAGCCGAAACTAAGGCTATTTCTAATGGTTCATATGATATGCAATGTCTCTTTAATAAATTGTAAGTTTCCCTTGGATTATGAAGAATAATGGTTGATCGATTCCATAACATGCACTTATACTTTTTTATATTCTTTAGACGGACATTGGTGGTTGTCATCCATTCAATAAACTTGATTGATATACAATTACATTCCAACAAGTTTTCAGTCAAATCCACAGACAAGTTATGTTTTCTGGCTAAAGATTCCCATTGTGATGAAATAGAGTCACCGACAATCGTTATTCTGTTTCCACTCAAATTTAATTCCTGTAAATGCATCATGTGTGATACACGAAAAGTTATGTCTGTAAACATATTTTCACTTAAATCAAGTTTTTGTAGATTTCTTTGTGATTTGAATATATTCTCCGGTAGATTTGGAATTCTATTTTTAGAAAGCACGAGCTCAGTAAGCGATTCCAAATTATGAAAAATGTTACCATCGATATCGTCAGGAAGTACATAACCAAGTAAATTATTTTGAAAGTTTAAACGCTCTAAGTTTTTAAAATCAGAGCTAAAGAAGAATTTTGAAATATTGCTGCAGAAATTAGTAGACACGTTTAGAATTTTTAGACTGTCTACATTGTAGATAGGACCAATCAATGAATGCAATACGTTATTACTAAAATCAACGGTCTCTAGCTTGTTTCTTGAAAGCATTAACTTAGATACATCCATTATCAGACTTGCAGAGCTGTAATTTAGGTGTTTCAAATTTTTTGGAATCGGTATTTCAGCAAGATTAAAGAGATCTGGAATATCCCCTTTTCTGGTCTCGTCTTGAACATAAAGTGAGGAGATCCCACTTTGGTCAATATAACTGGGTTCATTGACAGAGTCTTCTTTGTATGTGCATATTGAATGAAAAATGCATTTTTCGGGATTAAGGTCTGTTTTATGACGATAAAGATCTGAAACGTCTGCAGTTTCTAAATTAGTAAGCGGAAGTATATCTAATATATAGTATCCAAACTTCAAAGGATTTCGTCTAACGGATAAAAACTTAAGTGATTTTGGAAGATATGTCAATGTGTTTTTCTCTATAGTTTGTAGACGATTACCATCGGCAAACACATATTGAAGGGAAGTGTTATGTAAACCCTTAATATGAGACGTTTCTAAAACTGTAGTCAGATCCTCAATTTTGTGAAGATAGTTAACCTTAAGAATGTTAATGTTCGAAAATTGTAAATCACTTGTAATGTTTTCCAATCCTTCGAATTTAATGCACGTATTATTTGATACGTCTAGATATGTTATATTTTTCAAAATGGTCAATGCTCCTTTATGAATTTGTTGAATCTTGCAGGTTGATATATCTAAATGTTGAACCTGAGAAATAAACTGGAAGGATTCGTTTTTCAAAATTGGTAGTGAACAATTTCCAGATGACCCTGAAAGATCGAGCATTGCCAATTTTTTCAGTTTACTATATTGTTTGCTCATAACGGAAATTCCCTTTGACAAGAAGTCAATATGTAAACTTTCAAGTGAAATTAGTTTTGAAATGTCTGGGTGATAGTTTTCAACGAAATTATTTTTCAAGTTTAAATATTTCAAACTCTGTAAATGTGAAAACGTTTTCGCATCAAACGAATGCTTTCCTCTCGACAAATCATTGTTTTGCAAGCTTAATTTTAGTAAATTTTGAAGACCGTTCAACGACATTTCTGTAAGTCTATGAATCCTATTATTAGACAAGTCTATTTCAGTGAGGAATGTATTGGTGGAAAAGACACCATTTGGTATTTCATCAATGAGGTTATTTTTTAGGATCAACTTTGTAACATAACTTGGAACGTTTGGGATCCTTTTCAGCTGTATATGTGAGCAATCGGCCCTTACATCGTTTTTAGGATGTTCTAAGCTGCATTTACATCTTGGAAAAAAGCTGCATGGATGGTGTAGTATATTCCCGCATATTGTTGCTAATGTATTGAAACAAATAATTACATATAGTATTTGTTTCCTTCCCATTGTGTATCTGCAATGAAATAAAGAACTAATAGTATAGTAAATTTGGAAACTATTGCGTGCATTTATTATTGCAATTTCGACATGACAAACAAAAATGTTAGAATAATTATTGCGACTACAGGACAAGCTACAAACAAATATATGTTTCAGATTTCAAAATTCGAGTTCTTATTATTGCGATTGTCCCCCAGTATTATTATTCGCAATAATAAAAACCTCGCAATCATTTCCGAATTTACAGTAATAAAAGGGTTACATGGATTAAAAATCAATTTTGTCCAATCTGTTTCATAAAATCGTTAAAAGATATTGTTCTTATTGTTTCTTTGTAACCACTATCTTACAAATGAGGAAACAGAAATGTTTCTAGGAGACAGCAACGCAATAGACGAAGACAACTGGTTTAATCTTATCTTGAGAATGTGTTGCGATAACCTGATCACTTTCATCTTTAAGATGATGAAGTTTCAATTGTTTTTTTAAACCTGTTGTAATTAGAGATATATACAGCAAAACACTATAAAAGAAAACTGAAAGACACAAAATTTACACATTTGTCATAATTAATTTAGCAGACAATAATTGATGCAACGACTAGTTTAGATGATTGATCTTATCTAAAATATTCGAAAAGAATGACAGAGTACACTTATCCTTACTTTAGGGTTGATATATGGGTGAACCTCACCTCATATAGTTCTTCGAAGTGTCATATTTGAATGATAACAGGTGTCATATTTACATTGTTACTTCGTAAACGTCTTTTATTTGAAGAGCAATATGTTTTCGTCGTAACAAGCGCTAATACCTGTGGAATATTTATTTAAAATGGATATAACGAAATGACAAAAGTACAATCTCCTAGGTCGTTGCAACTGATAGAGATAGTAATTAAATGATATTAATGTAAAAAAATCCATTACTGAATAACATCAGGAGGGAAATTCAAAAGAATGTCAACTCTACTTTATACATGTATAATTATGGAAAACGTGTATGTTTTATCCTTTAATTGATTGTAATTGATGTTGATGATCATCTAATAAAACGAAACGAAAATTACTTTGCACATATAGTAATACGAGCTTGGAGTGTATAATACACAGAAACCTAACGGCACAATCTATAGATATAAGAAGATGTGGTATGAGTGCCAATGAGACAACTCTCCATCCAAGTCAAATTTGTAAAAGTAAACCATTATAGGTCAAAGTACGGTCTTCAACACGGAGCCTTGGCTCACACCGAACAGCAAGCTATAAAGGGCCCCAAAAACTACTAGTGTATGTACGTCAAATAATTCTTGCATCAACACTGTGTCAGTAGGAGGTTTGTCACAAGGCAAATGTTACTGCTTTTCCATCATAACATTTTACCACGAGCTGTGTAAATTTAACACCCTTTCCTCAAGATGAAATCTTTTAATGGACTTTTCTTGAATATGAAGGACGTACTTGCCATTCGTACGGATTTACTGTAACATGCCCAGAATGTTGACCAGTAATTAATCCTTATGGGTGTGCGATAGTAACATTTCAGCTTGATGGAAGGTTACTTGTTCGATATTTTCCATGTCTGCCTTTCCCAATCATATATTTTCTTATGACTATGAGCTCGAGATAAGCAGTCTTTTTGTAACTATTTAAGATCTATGTTATGTCGTGTTTTCTTCCAAAATTACTTCACTATAGAATCTATTTGAAAAAAAAATAAATATAGTTATAACACTTACCTGTCGATCAGCTGGTCCACCAATAATAACTTTTGAATACACTTTAAATCGTTTATCTTGACATTTCAGATTTAATTTATCACTCTATCGCTTGATAGGATTGGTGGTATACATTTGAAGATGATTTGATATATGAAATAAATCTTTTAAAGTAAGATAAGTGAACTAAAACTTAATGTCCAAATACAGGAAGCTCTCCTGAGGGAGTTATCTATAACAAGGAAATTAGATTAAAACATAACAAAACATTCTATTTTCTAGCAGACGACAATTACATGGAAATTTTCTATATTTTGAAGAGTCGGTACCGATTGGAGTTCACGGTAAAATGCCCCAAAATAATATCTAAATGATGACGAAGCTACGTTCGTTCAATTGTACATTCAAACATGTATCTCCGTACTCCTAACAAAACAATATTATATTCAAATGTACCTGAGTGTGTACGTTATTTTATTTAACGCCATTTTGTCCAATGTTATAGTTGTCTTTTTGGCATTGTGTCATAGATGAAATTTATTCGTTCAGTGTATGTTTACTTGTTTTTGTTAATATGTCTTTTTGATTGAGTAAAGCCATTTCAATTGATATTTCATAGTGTGCTTTTCTATGTTGTAATGTTACACTACTATTTCAGGGTAGGGTGAAGGTTGGCGTCTGTTAAAACGTTTACACCCGCTGCATTTGTTTGCACCTGTCCTAAGTCAGGAACATGTTTCAGTGGTTGTCGTTTGTTGATGTGGTTCTGAAGTATTTTTCGTTTCTCGTTTTTTATATAGATGAGACCGTTGGTTTTCCCGTTTGAATGGTTTTATACTATTAATTTCTGGGCCCTTTATAGCTTGTTGTTCGGTGTGAGCCACGGTTCCACGTTGAAGGCCGTACTTTGACCTATAATTGTTTACTTTTTACACATTGTGACTTGAATGGAGAGATGTCTCATTGGCACTCATACCACATCTTCTTATTTCTAACCTGACTGATGTACAAATGTGAGATGGGGTTTGATTTTGTATTAAAAATTACAAAGCATTGACCAGGTGACAATATAACAAACACCGACTGATAACTATAGAATGTCAGACGATATATTTGAAGAAGAATTTTTACATCAAGGTTGATATAATGAAATATCCTTTGAAACACGTGATCTTAATAACTAATTGAAAATAAGAATGCTACATCATATGTAACATTAATATATATCCACTTACAAGCAGGATGACATTGTCCTAGTTACCTCAACACCCATATATGTATCTATATATAATACGCATCCATAAAACAACGAAAACAGTGCACATAATAATATTTTTATGGTTATATATTTTTTTATTATTTAAACCAACAAGGTTCTTTTACCCTCAAGCATAGATGGCTTTAGTTGTATTTGACACAAATTTTTTTTCCGGAATTATTGGCTTGCAATGCTTTTTAGCTTTGAGTTTAATATAACCTTCCTACTTTATTCATTGGAGCACCAATGATAAGTCTTATACATACAAAGAGTGGCGTACGTTCAGTATTTATCACTTTCTGTTAACATGAAACAACATTGATATGTTCATTTTTCTGAAATTTTCTATTTATAACATTTACAATTAATCAAAACAATTAGATTGTCTCTGATAGATATTCATCGGGTCCTACAAGCAAAAATAGATTTCTACTATACTCCTTTTACACCATTTGAGATAGGATTACATGTTTGTGTGTACTTTACATTTTATGTCTGTAGCGAATGTTTTGGATTTGTATTCCCTCTGAGGTTAGAACTATGGACTTAAATGTGTAGTGGGTTACCTGGTGACCAGTAAAATCTTTAAAACTATCGAGTAAAGGAAATTGAAACATGAATCAAAAGTAATCTTCAATCCATCTTGACCAGCAGTCAATTTCTATTCAACCGCTTAGGCATGACCTTTAAGGGTCCGGAAAACGACAAAGCTATTGTTCCTGAATTCTCTAACGTCATTTGAGGTAATATCATAAAATCGGTGTGTACTTAACAATATTAGTGTGGTCTGTGAGGAAGGCTGATACTGACGGACATATGCATAAATATAAATTTCAATCAATAATTCATTGTTCAAATCATGTGGTATGTACCGAAACCCTGGTTTTCCCCTTTTCAATGGATGTGTCATCGTCGATGGCAATGACTGCCTGTAACCAACGCCTAAATGATTGATAGAAAGGTCAACATATTCTGTTGGGCATGTTTTGATTTCTGTTTTGTACCTGTTGATTTGGCCTCTGTTCCACCCATCACAGTATGTTTTGGCAATTATGCGGTTTAAACTTTAGGGCCTTAAATCTTGTTTTGCAGTCGATTCTTTGGCATTACAGTATATAGGAAACATTTATTGCGTGAATCTGTCTGCTATGTCATTTGACGATTTGATTAGAAGTTGATGTTGCGGTCATAACATGTCTCGCAAATGACATTTCGTTATCAAAGTAATCTTATTAACGTGGTGTTGTCATTTTATTTTGATCTGGTCATGGGTGGTCATCAACCAATCCAGTCTATCTTTACCGTTGTTGTGATGATAATAAATGAGTTTCTGACGTGAAATTTTCTAACAATGCACGTTCACGTATTCCCGCGTGCAATAATCTTATGGCTTGATTCAGAATTCCATTGCTCAGTTTTGGCAATATGGAGATGCAATATCATGAATATACTGATTTAAGTATGGGTATGGATTGAAAGAATAGTTTCACGAAGGAAAAAACCTTATAATAAAAAAATCAAATGGTTTCAAATTTCGCTTAAAGAAATTCGTGCGACCTCAATAATCCGTTAAGTTCAATAGCCCCAGGTAGGTCAGGTATTGAATTTTTCTGAACAGAAATACGTATGGTAAGCATTAATAGCAGTTATATGAGGATCATTTGTGATTTGGTAAAAAAAAAAAACACTAAAATGTGTTTTGCGTTTTTAAAGTCCGTCAGTATATTTTGATAATTGTGTGTAGACACGGATTATGAAAATTTCGAGTTACTAAGTATATATTGTAAAATTATTTGGTGTAAAAGGGTTATATTTGAATCAAAATAACAATAATTTGATAACGCTGTTTCAATATTTGCATTGACCATGGGTAAATGGTCTCCAGATCGTTACAACTATGATTATCCAAGAAATTCTCGCATTATGAAAGAAAGTAACCTCGGAGCAATAATTTTCAAGTTTATCGGTATATAATGGTGAAATACGGTAAACTTTTTTTGATAGGAAGTTGGTACTTGAATCAAGTTTATA